CCGAATGTTATTAGATAGCTATAGAGGAGGCCTTTTTGAACTTTACCTTACGTTATCCGGATGATTGACTTGCATGAACAACTTTGTTTCATTGTTGGCAACATCAATCGTCCAACCACGTTTGACTAAAATGGCTCGTGGCAGATGCTGCGTTGATACTTCAGAGCTCAATGAAAACAGAAACTTGGGTCCAGGTTTCCAATCAGGTGGCATTTCATCGTACAATCGTTTTGGATCAATATTTGTGGATGCAGTGATAAAACAAGACACTGTTTTGACGCCTGCTTCATTTAGTTTGGAGGTAATTTGGTTGATCTTGGAGATATCTTTAATACTGCCGTCTGCAGGCTCTCCATCTGATAGCACGAAAAGCAATTTGTTCTCAGACGTGTCTCCTTCGAAAAGCTTTATCGCCTTTTCGAGAGATCCATACAACGGTGTTCCGCCATAAATGAAAGGCTCCACGTTCTCAAGCAACTCTTGTTTCCGCTCATTAGAAAGTTCGTTAAGTTCCTTTTCACCGACGCATCCACGAATAATGCGAGAGGCATCTTGCACACTGAATATTGAGTGGGTTCCTATGTCCTTTAAAATACGCGAGGCATCTTCAAAATATCGTTTTGCCTTTCTTACAACTTCTTCGATATCCTCTCTTGTAGCTGATTTAAAACAACTAGCTGTCCATGAAGTAGCATCCTCTGCCCCGTTCCCTACTTTACGTAGACCAAATAGTACGCCGCCAAACAACCATGAACCCCATGAATCCAGGCTGTCATTCTGCGCTCCTCTGGATTGAAAATGAAAGCCCTGGTTCGTGAATGTCATTCGGGCAGTTTCTGGATCGAGAAAGAGAGCCTGGCCGGTTCGCCGCCGAAGGTTCGCGATTGAATGGAATTCTGCGCTCCTCTCGCTCAGATTGAAAGGCTGGGTTTGAGGTTGGGCTTGAGGTTGGGCTCGAGGTTGGCCGCCGCCAGCATGAGATGCTGTTTGTACTTTATCACGACAACTGGATGGTAAAAACTCGTCCACAAATTTTTTGACAAACTGTTTGTCCGACTCAAATTCTCGCAGAGTCAATGTTGCCATATATTCAGATAGTACATCTTGAATCAGTTTAACATTGCAGGCCCAATTACGTATGTTGCGTGCACCGTTTCTCTCGAGAATATCAAGGATCTCGTTGATGTGGTCTTCAGTTGCAGGCATGTTCGTGTTTTCAAATTGTTGAAGAGTTGCAATAACATCAAATATTTCTTTGCCGGGACATTCTGCACCGACGCCTATTGCAAAGACACGATCCTCAGATGTAAGATCATGTTCAATAAGGTCATCGATAACATTGAATATAGATTGCACCCATGGTCCGCCTTCTTCATCAGTACCGCTTCCAATGTTCCTCTTCATAGAACCAGAAACATCAAGTATTATTCCAGTTAGCGACATGAGTTGTTTTATCTACAATAAAATACTCATTAATAATTCATTTAAAATACTCATTAATAATTCATAAACCTTGTGGCAAATCATGTCAGCCATAATATGTCACGTGGAGTGACTTTATTTCTGATAAAACACATGTGGCATTATATAATTGTTCATCTTAATTAGCATGATTATATATTATGGTTCATCCTAATTAGTATTCTTTTGTAGTCGTATTTTAAGCTATTCAAAACACTCGTTGTCGTGTTTTATCAGATATAAAACGCTCGGCTGCGCCTCGCGTTTTATATCTGATAAAACACTCCTACTCGTGTTTTAAATAGTAAATATTAAATTAAAGAACTGAATTTTCGACCGCGTATCACAGCTTTCGTCACAGTTAATTGCATGGTTTGTCAAAACGTCTGCGAGTGGGCCTTCAAAAATTCTTTAAAATTAATACATATATTTGGAAGAGCGTCGAGCTAGAATTTCAGAGGTCCGGGGTTCAAAAAACCAGCCACAGCAGGCAGAATTTTCTAATTGCGCAGTTAAGGTTTGGACTCATTTATTCGAGAACATATATAAACTCGATCCAGAGAATTATTCATTTGATTGTGATTCAGAAGGGGTAATTTATTACTTCGTTTTACCTTGTCTTGACGTATTTAAATTTATTTACCTCAGGTTTTTCACCTATTCCAGCTTTTATACCAACATTTTCCACCTCATTTTTCTTATTCTTTTTGGAACTAACACTATACATAATTAGAAAAAAAGATTAAAATACTGTGACCTAATAACATCGTACACAATTTCCAGAGCTCTCGTTTTGCATGCCGGCTTTTATAGTTACTTCTATATGACTGTATCAACAGGGAAAACAACATGTATCGCAACTAGACTTAACTAAAACTTCGTACATTATTTCTTTACGTTGCTTGACTTCTTCCATGTTATCAATCTCAACCTTCAATCCTTCCACTTCAATGCCAATTTTTTCGAACTCTTCTTCCAAGCGTTCTTTCATTCTTCCACATTCGTAATCCTCCAAAATTTCTAGGAATCTCTGGTCCGTAAAACAGCTTAGTAGGACATGTAGTGAGCCAGGTTTAATTTCCCGAATTTCCTGGTCATCTCGCTCTCCGCCAAGACTTCGAGTGACAGCACTATCGATATCCATCTTTTTTCCCATTAATTGATATCCAGCGTAAACAGCACTCAATGAAACTGCAGTGATGCACACGTATTTTACAACTTGAGCACTGTTACTGCTGATAGTGATTGAAAAATTACCACCACCACTGCAAGATATACTGGAATGAAAAGCTTCCCCAACAGCCTGGGCTGACTTTCCAATCTCAGCACTAAATGACTCTGCCATGATAGTTTTGCCCTGAAAAGATCAGAGCACTTTTAGTATTTGTTTTATAAAATTGGTCCATAAACAGTTCCTGTCAATAGGTAAGAGGACTGACACTGTGCAGCACATATAGTAGCGAAGGCGTGCGGAAAGAAAAAACTGTCACAACCTCCTCCCCCTCCCTACTCGTATATGATCAATCTATGTCCTTTCCTTTATTTTGTGCATGCATTAATGCCTACATCTTCGCGTCTTCGACGGCATAGATGTAGGGTAAGGTATTCTTGTTTTTTCATGTCCAAACTATACATAGGCGAATGAACGAAACATTAGCCTACCAAAAATTATAGGAATATAAAATTTAAAACATCATTGAATTAAGTGGATACCACACGCTAACTTTCAAAGGCCCTAGTTACACGATACTGTATTCCCTTCCCTTGTCACGACATCAGTTATCAGCACATATGTCGTTCAGTAGTTATGTCTGCCCATAAAAGTTCCCTCTTTAACAGTTTTTGTTCTATTTTGTCATATCGAAATTTTAAGTGTTAAGTCTTAAGATATCCCCGAAACCGTTAAAATCGATGTCCCGGTATCACATATTAAATTTTCATATTTTCAGTCAGATTTTTCAACTCTCAGCCAAGTGCAATGTGCAAATACGCTATGACTATGTGTACACTGATCAGGAGGAAAAGAAGTTCAGATGACAGGATTGTGGATCATAATGAAGTTGTGTTTGTTAGGAAAATCATGATAAGTTCGTTTTCGGCGGCAAAGTGCGCAGCCTGTTTGAATTTAAACAAAAGTAGAACCAGTGGAACTGTATGCAACTGCGTTACTATACATGTAGTCATGTACATAACAACCGAAATAAATGTTTGGCTTGCCGCATATCATACTATCCCTGGACCACAGTAATTCAAGTGAGATCCCGTTAGAGCTTGTTTGAACTTTCAGTCCCATGCATTCATTGAGTAATGAGTAACATGGTCTCTAACTTTAAATTCCCATGTAAAAGGTTGTATATTTTAGGGATATACTGCTATATACTTGCCTGCTCATACAAATGCGTTTGAAACGTAAAACTGTATGTATTGACTTACTGTTAAGCTTTCTAATATAATCTCGGTTTAATATATAAGTACAAAATGTAGGGCCTGGAATATTGGTAAATCGAAATTACGTACCTCTCAATTTGCTTGTTGATTCTTCCCGAAGTTTGATTCTTCCCGAAGTTTGATTCTTCCCGACGTCTGAACGTTAAACAGAAAGTTAAATTACCGAGAAAGCCAAAGGCCCTGTGATTAAATTCATAAATTATTCATCTCATTTTAGCGTCGTCCGGAAGTAATGATGTTTTTCAAAAATGACTATGTGTTTATGTTGTTGTCACAAAATGATGCCATTCACAGTCAAATTTAGTTCGAAATAGCATATTGAGTTTACTTCAAGTACAAACCTAGGACTAGCTCTATCAGATAATATTTTATTCACCGCGGATGATGACTAGCTATAGATACACCTAACAGGGCTTCTAGCATAAAAGCCGGCTCTTTCGTGCACAAAAACGGCAGTACAAATCATCCTTACGTGCACAAGGGTGGCCGGGTAGTAGCGAAGTAGTTGTAGTTCGCTACTGTAGCGAACTACAATTTTCAAGTAGCCAGTAGTTTTGACTACTTTTTTAAAACTGCAGTAGTTGTAATTATAGCGAACTACATTTTGCCTAAAAATAGCCAAGTAGTTGACTACTTTTCAAACAGCGAATCGCTATTCGATACTTTTTAAAATTGTTAGCAACTTGATAGAATAGCATGATATTGAGACACGGTTTGCTTAAAATCAATACTTAATATTATTATTAAAATCAATACTTAACTTTGTGTTTACTGTTACTACTCGTAAGTCGATTTGTTATAGGTTAAATTTCAGCCTGAGTTAGTAGATGCTCCAAATACAGTAAAACTAAAAAATATCATAGCGTAGCGAAATAGTTCGCTACATTTTTTAAGCAGTAGCTGTAGTCAGTAGCAAACTACCTTTGCTAGAAAGTTCTTTAAGTTCCTTTTCACCGATGCATTTACGGATAATGCGGGAAGCATCTTGCACACTGAATATAGAGTGGGTCCCTACTTCTTCTAAAAAGTATGAGGCGTCTTGCTGTATGTCTTTTAAAAGATAGCTTTTTGCTTTCTTTGCAACTTCGTAAATGTCCTCTCTTGTGGCGGGTCTGAAAAAACCCGCGGCCGCCGAGGTGGAAGCATTTTCTGCCAAAGTTAATGGCATTAATAATGGGGTGAGCAGAAATAACCCAAAATTTCAAAGATCAGGCTTTTGCACTACGTCATAAAAAGATACAGTTATTGCTACTGTATCTCGACAGCCTGATTGTAAAAATTCGTCTACAAATTTCCTGCGAAACTGTTTCCTCAGTACCAATCTTTCCGTATAATCAGATACTGTTGTTTGAATAAGAGAGATATCATTAGCCTATACTTGCGTATGTTACGTGCACCATTTCCCTGAAGAATATTAAATATCTCGTAAATGTGGTCTTCTGTTACACAAGGCATGTTCTCAATTTTCTGAACAGTCCCAATAACATCAAATATTTTTTTGCTGGGACATTCAGCACCGACGCCTATTGCAAAGACACGATTCTCAGACGTAAGATCATGTTCAATGAGGTCATCGAAATCATTGAAAATAGACTGAGCCCATGGTCCGCCTTTTACATCATGCAGTACCGCTTCCAATGTTTCTCTTCATAGAACCAGAAACATCAAGTAGTATTCCAGTCAGCGACATGTTTCTTTATCTGCAATGAAGAAAATTTCGGATCCTTTAGTCTTTACCATGCATCAGACAATTGTAAGCAGGGACGCCGGAACGATAATAAGGCAAAGAGAGGCGGACGCACACCAAGGGCACCTCTATAGAGCAAAACTTCAAAATCTACCGGAAAACTTTTTTCAATTGAAAATTTTGGCGCCTCCTCCCCGTTGCCAAAAAAATTTCGGTCAGTGTACCATTTTAGGGGTCAAAATTTTTTTCCGGACATTCGGATTTTTCCGGATTTTCGTAAAAAAAGCATCGTTGGAAATGTGATTTATCACGTAGTATTTTACAACTAAAAGGGCACTTCTGCCCCCCCTGCCCCCCCAGCAAAGGGCAAAGGGGGCAGCCGCCCCCTGCCCCCCCCCCAGTTCCGGCGTCCCTGATTGTAAGAAATATAAAAAAGAAAAAACCTCCTCTAAAAAGTATCATAAGTTATGAGCTCAAGAGAAGTGTATTGAAGGGGGACCGGTCTACATCCCATTTCCCACCATTTTCCCACCAACTATATATAAATACCAGTCAGTCATGCATTCCCAGTCCCATACGCCAATCCCATGCAGTTCAGTTCAGTCAGTCATGCATTCCCAGTTCAAAAATACGCAAATCCCATGCAGTTCCTATTTTACCCCTTCATGACCCTTCCCGTTATGAGTTGTTGAAAACAGAGCTTCAGTGGCGCACCAGAGCAAACGCCTATCACTTCTTATATATATTAGCTTCACTAGCTTCGATTTTTGCTTCCCACAGGAAATATGGACAGGTTGAATTGAGATAAGTTCCAAACAAATCCCGCCATTTACTAGCTGTGCTCCATGATCAAAGTCTGCATACACACGTCTATAACATTTCTTATAATTTCAGATTTTGTTATAGATCTCCGGGAATTTTTCAGTTCTCAGCTAGGTACACAAATGCAACAATGCCTATGTGTTGTCGCGGGAGAATTGTGGAAAAAGGAACTCTGCATCGTAAAATTGAAAAATTAGGATAACTTATTTTGGCGGCGCAGTCTCATGGTCTGCTCGCATGCAAACACAAGTAGAACTGTAATACTGTAGTGTAGACCAGTGTACGCAATAGCGGTTTATTACTAAGAAGTGACTGACGCATTTTTAAGTTAACAACGCAAAGCAATTGTTGAAACGCTTGACTTGCCGCATATACTATATTACTATCCCTGAATCACAGTATAACTGCATGAAATACCTTTAAACCTTTTTTTGAAATTTGTTGCTATTCGTTGCGTTTTATGGACTCAGTTGCCAATTATTTTCGTGCATGATAAACTCTCCACTGAACTGTATAACTCGAAAAAAAAATCACGTCAAAGTCTTGTACATTTAAATAAAAAATCCTCCATGCAGAGAGTGCAAATTACAAAAAAGTTCATTTTTCCCTACAAAAGGTCCAAAACAGTTCCGCCAAGTCGATGATATATTTGACTATATACTAAATTGCCAGACTTTCAAAAGTCTAAAACTAAAAAGTCTCGTATATTTCAAAGCAGTGATTTCCGAACTAGTAAAGCACTGGAGCAGCGGCGGCGGAACAGATTTCGTTCTGGGGGGGCTAAATTTTTTCGGCGACCCCCCCCCTCCGTCGCCAAAAAAATTTCGGTCAGTGTACCACTTTAGGGGTATAATATACTAAAAAGAGACGAAAAAATTTTTTCCGGACTTATATCAAAAATTTTTTTCGGAACTACGCTTTTTTTAAACAAAATATTGCAAATTTGTCCCCTTATACCTAAATTTTCAAAAAATAACCTAAATTTTCCCCTAATTATCAAAATTTTTTCAAAAAATTCAAATTTTCTGGCGGGGCTAAGCCCCCCCACTTTTACTTCTGGGGGGGGCTTTAGCCCCCCTAGCCCCCCCCTGTTCCGCCGCCCCTGCACTGGAGCAATAACACAAATTAGGAACACGAACATTTTCAGTAAATTGAAATTACATACCTTTCGATTTCGTTCTTGATTCGTTCGGAAGCTGTTGTAAACTAATCTGAACGTTTTCCAGGTGAAACTGAAAGTTAAGTTACCGAGAAAACCACGGATTTTGCGGTCCAAATTCATAAATTATTCATCGTTTTATAGCGTCAACCGGAAATAAATGACCTTGAATGTTGATGTTTTCCAAGAAGACAAAATGTAATTATGTTGTCGCAAAATTCCATGCTAT